GGAAAGTTGTATGAGGCAGCTCCGGGGCGGGGTTGGGGGGAGAATTTCCTTTTCGGAAGCCTTGACACTTCATCCTATTTCCAGACCCCCCTTCCTCCTCCCTGTCTCCTGACAGTGTGTATCTGTCTTCAGCTGTTACCTGTCAACGCGGCTTTATTTGCTATGCATAAATATGGCTTAATTAGCGGGAAGACGATTCCTTAATTACACTTGTAGAGCTCCTCTCTGTGCGCAGCCTTCCTGTCTAAGGTACGGGACGCCACCTGCCAAGTCAGCTTAAAACCCGACGTCTGAATGCATCAGCGCGGTGCTGGGGACGTGGTCCTCCGACGGCGGGTTTGCCCAATCCTTCTGACAGCTTTGGGGGGTTCACACGCACCTAACCACAGCCATTCCTTAAGACACCCCTGAGCTGCAGAACCTTCTATTTGGATGCAAGTCTCTTCCAGAATCAGAGGTGACGCCAGACGGGACTGGGAGGGAAGATGCAGCCGCCAGCATCCGTCACGGTGGCATGAGAGTCACAGGGGAAGACAGGCCGGAAGGACACAGCGCTTTCCTGGGGCGTCTTCATCCGGTTAGTCGTCCATCCGTCTGTCCTCGCCTTCCTCGGTTAGCACCGTCCCCGGACCTGGGCCCAGGCTCGTGGAGGGACACATTGTGGCGTGTCGCTGTTCTGATTTCTCCGTCGGCGACGGAGGACACGGGGAGCCGTGGACTGGGGCTACGGGCCTCAGGCCTGGTCCGAACTTTCGGGCATCAGCTGCTTTTATGGAAGACTTTGTAAGTATTATTCTGAAGCAGGCAGTAGTCCCCACCTTCCCGCCGGCTCTGATCTGAACCTGGGCGAGTTCGGCGAGTGTGTTAAAAGCTGTGTGCTCCACTGTTACGGGGGTGAGCATCCTGCATCCCTTAGGCGAGGCTTCCTTCTCCGTTCTCAATGTCTTCAGACTGTTTGAAGCTGTTTTATCGTCTCCTTCCATTCCCTCAAAGGCCACCCATCACCTCACGCAGGCACCTTGTTTTGTTTTTTTGTGAGGACACGTGAGATCTCCTCTCTCTGGAAATTTCAAGATGCAACACATTATTATTAACCACAGCTGCCACGCTGCACGCTCGGTCTCCAGACTTTATCTTATAAAGGAGGGTTTGTGCCCTCTGACCGGCGTCTCCCCGCTTCCTCCTCCTCCCCGGGCCCGGGTAACCACAGATCTGCTCCTTCCTTCTGTGGTTCTGCTTTTGGAGAAGTCACGCGTGCGATCCTGCAGCGTCTGTCTCTATGCGTCTGGCTGATTTGACTCGGCCCGATGTCGCCCAGTTGCTTCCGTGCTGTTGCTAGCGGCAGGGTTTCCTTTTATATTAAGGCTCCGGCTCTGCAAATACTGCCTTTCCTTTACCTGTTAATCCTTCACGGCCATTCAGGGTGATGCTTCCCTTGGCTGTTGTGGGCAATGCTACGGCGAACCTGGGAGGGCAGGCGTCTCTTTGAGACGGTGCATTTTTGCTTCCCCTAGATCTGCACCCGGATGTGGGAAGTGGAATTACTGGATGATACGGCGGTATCATTTGAACATCTTTGAGGAGCCTCCATACCGTCTTCCCTAATAGTTGTACCAATTTACACTCCCATCAACAGTGCACACGGGGTCCCTTTTCCCCACATCTTTGTCAACACTTGTTAACTTTTTTTTTTAAGAGTAGTTTAATCCCGCCTGACATTGCCTGGTGGGTTTTACGAGCATTTATTTCTCTGGTGATGAGCCATGCTGAGCGTCTTGTTGCGTCCTTCTTGGCCATCTGTAGCCCATTTTTAGAAAAATGTCTACCCAGGTTCTCTGCCATTTTTTTCCCCCGCTGGGTTCTCTCTTTCTTTGTTTTAGCCACTGAGCTGTATACGCTTCTTGTGCATTTTGGGTATTAGCCCCCTGTGGGAAGTATGGTTTGCCACGCTGTCTCCCCTTCTGCGTGTTCGCTTTTCATTTTGCTGGTTGCACCCCTTTCTAGTCTCATTGGTTTATTCTTTTTTTTTTTCCTGCGCTTTCCAAGAAATCATTGTCAAGACCACCGTCAAGGAGCTTCCGACCCCCTCCAAGTTTTCTTCTAAGAGTTTTACGGTTTCAGGTCTTACGTTTCAAGTCTTCACTCCACTTTGTGTTGGCTTCCGCGTATGGCCCATCTGCGTGCCTAACACCAGCTTTCCCAGCACCAGTTTTTTTCCTCACTGTGTGTTCTCGTGCCTCTGTGGGAGATCAGTTGATCTACACATGTGCTTTATTTCCACAGCCCTTCAGTTCATTCTGCTGGTCTCTGTGTCATTGTTAGGTTTTGATGACTATTAACTTTGTAATATAATCTGTTTCTTGGTAAATTTATTTCTTTTAATTTTAAAATCTTTTAATTTAAATTTTTTTTAATTTTTAAAATTTGGGGGGGTAGGTTAGGTTTATTTATTAAATAAATTTCTTCATGGAGGGACTGGGGACGGAACCCAGGACCTCACGCCTGCTAAGCACGTGCTCTACCGCTGAGCTGCACCCTCCTCCTGCAATACTCTAACGGAGAAAAATCAAGGAAAACAAATAAATGGGGGCGCAAATACCATAGTCATGGGTTGGATGAATTAATACAGCAAATATATCAGTTTTTCATGAAATTCTTATCAAAATACCAGCAGTATTTCTGGAGATACTGGATTGTACCTGGAAAGGCAAAGGGAGTACAATGCTAAAGTAATTTTTGAAAAGAATAAAGACCATTCTACCCCCAATCGAGATTATAGTACTGACAAGAGTATAGTATTGACAGAGAAACAGAGCAGAACTCAGAAATAGAGCCATGACTTATTTTTGACAAAGGTGACAAAGCCACCCCGTGATAGGATGGTCTTTTCAACAAATGCCTCCGGGAGAACTGGACAGCCAAGGGCAAAAAAAAAAAAAAGAAAAAAAGAAAAAAAATGTTTTTTTTTTCCTGAACTAAACTTCACGCTTTATGCAAAACGTATCTCAAAATGGGTCACGGATTTAAATGTAAACCGTGAAACTATTAAATGTTTAGAAAATAACGTAAGAGAAAATCTTCAGGTTATGGGGCTTACAGAAGAGTTCTCAGGACACCGAAAGCATGGGAGAAAATTGACACCGTTGGCCTCGTTAAAATTAAAACCTTCTGATCTGAGACAGATCCTGTTAAGATGGTGAGAAGGCAGACTGCAAACTAGTGACACCTACTTGCAAACCACACACCCGAGAAAGGACTGGCATTGAGCAGCCTATAAAAGCGCCTGCAGAATTCAACAGTAAAAACCGAACAACTGCATTCAGAAATACAGGAAGCGTCATTCCACCAACGCGGGCGTGCCAATGTCACATAAAACGTGAGCAAGTGTCAACGTCACCAGCCACGAGGGGAACACGCGTTAAAACCACACTGCGATCTCGTCGCACACCTGTCAGAGCGGCTAAAACGGAAAACCTCAGGACACCAGATGCTGGCGAGGATGCGGATAAACTGGACTGCGAGTCAGGGTGTAACGCTTACCGTGACTTTGGAAAACAGCCTGGCGGTTTCTGATGAGACCGCCAGAATTACACTCCTCGGTCTTCATCTCAGAGGAATGAAGGCTGCGTTCACGGGAAACATGCACGTGTTTCTAGCAGCCTTATTCTCGACGGCCAAGAAACTGCGGGAAATGCAAAGTATCCATCAGCAGGTGAACGTTTAAAGTGCAGCCCGTCCAGTCCACGGGAACAGACGCCGTCTCTGTAAAGAGACACGAGCGGATGCTTGGCTGGGTCTCGAGGGCGCTGTGCTGCGTTTAAAAAGCCCACCTCGAAAGCTGACTTACCGTGTGACGCCACTTATGTGACACTGTTTAACGACAAAACTACAGATGGGAAAAGCACGGTGACTCCAGGGCGCGGGTGCCGGGGTGGGGCGGGTGTGAGACGTGGCTGCAGAAGGGCGGTCCCCGTGGTGGTGGACGGTCTGTATCTTGGTCCCAGTGGCATTGACACAAAACCACGCAGACGGAAAAAAGACGCGATCATGTGCACACCAATTACACCGGTCAGTTCCGGGCCTGGACGCGGGCTAGAATTACGTCCCTCGGGGAAAGCTTTGTGAAGGGCACGTGGGTTCTCCCTGCACTCCCTTTGCAATTGCTGGTTTGACCGATGTTTTAAGATCTTCTGGATGAACATTTTTTGTCTCTATCATGGCTGGGGTGGTCTGATCAGACGTGCTTTGGGGGTGAGCACATTATCAAAGGCACTGGTGCCGAGGAAGCGGGGGCAGGAGGTGAGCACCCGGTTCAAGTTCAAAGCTGGGAGGGTGGTTTAGGCTGTGGTCATTACCGAGGTCTCCATTTTCGGGGAGTGCGTGGCTCGGGGGCAGCCGTTCACCTCCACGTCAGGTGCACGAAACAGAACGTGAAAACCATCTGTCTCAACGCACACTGGAAATCTTCATGACACCCATCTCTCCGGGTCCTTGACTGTATGTAAAATGCAGACGTGGCACCTCTGTGGGTTGACGGGCTCACAGGTGACCTTGACTGAGAACTGCAGGGGCCCCTCAGTTCTCGCAGGGGACTTGCCGAAGACACAGCCCCGGGACAGGCTGAGACGCTGCTTCTGGAAGTGTGGCCCCAGATGGGCGGCGTCAGTGCCACCTGCGAGCCTGTTAGCAAAGCCGATTCCCTGCCCCCGTACCCCATCCCCCCAAGCCTGTGAGTCCCAGGTGCTGGGGTGGGACCCGCAAGCGGGCTTTCAGGGCTGTCCCGGTGATCGTTCTGTGTGCTGACCTAGGAAACGTGCTCTAAGAGGTGTGGGTAAATAATCTGTTAGTGAAAATCCAAAGTGTTGACTTTATAAAAATTGTGTGTGTCACTTGTAACCTCTTCACTGTCCTTCGTACAAGAGAGTGAACTCGACATAACGTAGAGCTGACGACGTCGCGGGTTCACGCCCGCCCTGACCGCGTGTCTCTCTTGTCCCCAGGCCCCAACTGCTTCGCAGAGACGGCTGTCATCCCAGCCGGCAGGGAGGTGAAGACGGACGAGTGCACCGTCTGCCACTGCACCTACGAGGAGGGCACGTGGAGGATCGAGCGGCAGGCCATGTGCACCAGGCACGAATGCAGGCAGATGTAGACCCGGGGCCGCGAAGGCGTCTCCCGGGAGACCGTGCTGGTGTCTGCATCCTGGGCGGCTCTGGGAAGCATTCGCCGGGGAGGGGAGACTCTGGCCGAGGCATGATGGACACCGGCTGGCACTGTGCTCTTCTCGGTAACTGTGACTGCAAGAGAAGGACGTGGATCTATTTCAAGACATCCACAAGAACTTGGGGCCATCGGAGCCCTCTCTCAATAAAATGTGCTATTTTCACAGCGAGGACACTGCAGTCCACTATTCTATATGAAGTGTATTTCTATAACCCTCGATTAGAGAGCTTATATAAATGTTTTCTATAGATACAGATTAAAAAGCCTGGGCTGTCCTCCCTGTGTCCCCGCGTGTCTCTTCCAGCTCCGATCCCCGAGTCTGGCCCGCGAGGTGATCTGTGGTTGCTGGGTCTCCTCCAGGTCTTGGGAGGAAGTGCCCAGTGACGGATCGTCAGATAACGGAACCAATTTTTGCTGAAAGCCGGTCCAGGTTCTGCTCCATCACAGAGAGACCAGTGGTGTCTTTTCCTTCAAAGACCCAGGCAAAGTCACACCGATACAATACGTCCTTCTTATGATCTGTGCTGTTATCAGCTCCATCCTCGGTCATTTGGGAGACGCAGGTGCAGAGGTAACGGACACACACAGGCTTCCTGCTCGTTCAGAGCTCCCACACCGCGGGCCGTGGATGCAGGTGTCTGTGTGTTTCTGGCCGCTGGTCCAACACAAGTAGGAAGTTATGGTCACCGGGATGGGAGCTGAGCCAGAAGGCAGCAGGGGCGGTGGGAAGGGCTTCATAAGATGAGCAGAGACTACAGGCAAAATAATTGCCTGTTTTAAGAAGTCATTTCATCACCCAAGGGGGAATAATAGTATGTAGAGAACAAAAATAGAGACACAAGCCTGGCTGGGTTGTCACTCTATGCCCCGCCATGGTCTTCGCTCGGGATCTTATTTTAGCATCCTTTAGAAATCATACCATGCTTTGTATTATAGTTCATTTTACTTTTGCTCTATTTTTACTCCAAATTTAATATTAACAATTTACTCTTCAATAGGCAAGAGAGCAAGCCTGCTTTCCAATAACTTTTAAAGTCAGAAGGGCTCTCCAGTGCCATGCCATCAGGAAAGGTGACCAGCGGCCCTGTTGGTAACAACAGCCCATGTATGGCTTCTTTGGCCAAAACTATTCGCAATGTTAATATTCTTGCTGGACCCGCCCGCTTGCTTTTTCTCCACTACAGGCATCGCTGGGCGACTGGCGCAGTCATTTTGGGGCAGAATCGGGTTGTGAGAGCGGTCGCTTATTCTGGAACGCATGTGTGCCGATGGGGCACAGATTTGACATTCCAGCCGCCCCTCCTCGATGTTCCACGGGAGACCTGCTTCCTCCTGCTCCCTCCACGCCAGCCTCCCCAGGCTACTGCTTTAGTGCTAAACGCAGACTCAGTTCGCGTGGGGAGTTCTCCCAGGTGGAGCCCTGGGGCGCGGTCCCCGCCCTGGCCCGGGCGTGCTGGCTGGCATCGCAGGACCTCAGGCCTGGGTGCCCCGGACCCTGCTCTGCGCACGGCTTCTGCTGCCAGAGCCCCTGGCCCCTTCCCCACACGGAGAGCTGCGCCGTCTCTTGGTCTCACACTCACGTGCCGTTACTTGGGGTCCTGGCTAGGTTGTCACTTAGTGCCCCACCATGGTCTTCACTCGGGATCTTATTTTAGCATTATTCAGAAATCATATCATGCTTTGCATTATAGTTCATTTTATTTTTACTGTATTTTTACTCCGAACTGTCAGTAATTCAGGCTATGGGGCATTTGGTCCCCAGAATGTCACCCAGCATCTTCACGTGGCTGGCCCACTGAGGCGTGCTCAGTGTATGGATTCTGTCCCTCGCCGCCCTCGTGCGGGCCAGCAGAGCAGCTCACACTCCCGGATTGCACCTCCCTGTCGTCCCCTGGCTGCTCAGCCGACTTGCAGACCTCAGATGCCCAGGTTTAAGTCCCTGGGTGAACAGTCACTGGCCACTTCCGATGCAAGTCAGGAAGGAAACGGCTTTTGGTGTAAACTTTCTGAGCCTGAACGTGACGTCTTATGCTGAGGACACACTGGGCCTTCCTAGTGGAAAGTCAAGTTCACGGTCTCGGTGTTAACTGCCTGTTTGCAACTTTGGGGCTATAAATCTCTCGTCTTAGACTTTCCTTCACGCTTTTGAGTGCTCCTACATATTTTAATATTTTGGCATGACATAAGCAAACACCTCAGTGATGAGACATCTGTGCAAAAACAAACAAACAAAAACTACGAGTTTCCACAGCCTGTAGGAAAAGCGTTAAAAAGTGATGGCTGTCTGTTACTTCACCACGGTGTCAAATTTCGGTCTCAGTTTGGCACCTACTGTTTTAACCTAACACACAAAACAGGGGCAGAAATTAAGTCCCAAAGCCTAATTTTTAAAGGAATAAACCCCACTGAACATTAGGTGACCCTGGATACTCATGTCGGCTGGGAACGCTCGCCCCAAGTTCCAATAACACTTAGAAAACTTAAATGGTAACGTGCTCTAAGTGCCTGGCACGTGGGCGTCTCGTGGCCTAAGAGATGCGTACAGCTTACCTCCCCCCCCGTTACGTTCAGGGACGTACACAGAGCCTGTGGCTTCCACATTACACAGACACAGAATTACCCAAAATTATTTTAAAATATCAAATCATATTACCTGAGCCATTGTAGCAGACTGCTGACACAGCCTGATGAATGAAAATGACTGTCAATATTGACATCTTGAGTCTTGAATTCCATTTTCATTCCATTCATTCATTTCTCAGTTTTCCTTGATATTTAATAATATTCAATGATTAATATTCCATGATTAATTTAATAATATTCAGTGATTAATATTCAATATTTAATAATACTCAATGATTAATAATTAAATAATATTCAATTAATTAATTTTAAACAGTTCCTGGAATTAGTTTCAGGCAGAACTGTTTTTAAATATACTTTGTGGCAATACTTACTTCCCACTTTCTTTCTTTAATGTATTTTTATACCATCACATGGATGCAATTCTATTTTTGTTTCTATTTGATTTAAGAGATTATTCCCTCTGTAAGCACAGATTTCTTACAAAATGATAAACAGTGAAAAGTGTGCACTAAGTAAGGTCTTTCTAGGAAATTATTAGTGTCTTATGTATAACAAAGGAATTTATTCTTAGCTTCAAGCAATCCACTATCAGCCAATCCATGAAGGTATGTTGCAAGCCAAGAATTATGCAGTTTCCCCAGGTTAACATTATCCCCCCCCCCTTTTTTTGCAGAAAACTAAATGTATGAGCAGGGAGTTTAGAAAGTGGCTCAAATTTCAGTCTAGCGAGCCGTGGGCTTGACTTGAGAACCAGGCTGTGCTTCACAACAGAGCCCGGCACCCGGTGTCTTAACCACTCGCTGTTAGGGCAGAAATCAGCCAGGAAATTTCAAAATGCTCCTCTAGGCTAAGAGAGGGAACGGACGGCCACAAACTCCCCCCCGACTCAACTGTGGTCATGTCGCAGTTCTGAGACAGAGGGGCGCCGCTCGCAAAAACGTCGTGACCGCCGTGTGCTTTTACTCCTAAGCGAGCTGTAGCCGGCTCTCGTGGGAAACCCACGTTCAGGCATCAACAGTGTTTTGTGGGTCTTTGTTCAGGTGTGGGCCTTGCCCTGAAATTTACAGGACACGACCACATGCTATGACCCATCTCCCTGCAACTAAACGAAGGAAGCTGCCGTTCGCCGTGTGCCAGTTATGTGACAAGGACGACGCTGGACATCGCGGATTCTCTCCTCTGGTCTCCCTGCTGTCACCTGTGCTGTGTCACCGAGGAGGGAGCACATGGCAGACACGCGCCCAGGTCTCAGCGACGGAACGGAGGCCAGGTCTGTGCGCTCCCAGCCCTGCGATGGGCCCTCGTCAGGGCTGGGGCGGACAGAACCACCTGCATCGGACCTTCCTCCAGAGGACCACGTGCTGACCCGTCAGTCACGGAGACCCCCGGACGGACATTTACTGAGCGCCGCCTGTATGTCCGGGGGGGTTAGGCCCACGGGGCTCTCGGGCCAGGATCCCCAGAGAGGCCCCGGGGTCAGTAAAAACAGGCAACCCTGTCACCTGCATTCAAGTCATCCACTTGCATCGGTGTTGTCATTTATAATTTAACATAAAAAGCCCGCTACCTCTTGATAGACAGCAGCAACTGAATTATGAAGTCCCCGTGGTAGGGAACCAGAGCAGCCTGGGGCTCAGGCATGAGGGCAAACGCGGCGGCGTTACCCCCGTGCCTCCACTCTGTGCGGTGGTCCCGGGGCGCAGCCTCGTGCTGCTGGTTGGGGAGGACGGGGCCCCCGAGGGAACACCCCCGGGGCTGCGCCGGGAGGGCGAGGAGAAGTGAGCTGACACCTGATGCGCAGTGTTAAAAAACTGATTTCAAAGCAGGAGGTGGCTGCCTAAGTGGAAAGGTCCCCCCCTCTACCCCGGGCTATTACTTCAATTTTTCTAAGTATGTTTACTGCCTCCAAGGTTTTGAAAAGT